ATAGCCTTTCCTGTATCATATTGTGCTAGGTTTATGTCAAATCCTAGTAAAGAACATTTTAAGGCTATACACTATATATGGTGTTATATACTAAAATATAATAATAAAGGTCTAATATATAACTGCTCAGGTAATAACCTATATATTAAAGGTTATTGTGACAGTGACTGGGCAAATGATATTAATAATAGAAGATCTACTACTGGCTATATATTTAGCCTAGGTAGTGATCTAGGCCTAACTAATCCTATATCCTGGAATAGTCAGCTTCAAAAAACAGTAGCTTTATCAAGCTGCGAAGCTGAATATATGGCATTAAAAGAAGCTACAAAAGAAGCAATATATCTGAATAATATGCTTATATATATAAATGATTATCTAAATTTAGGTTATACTAATACTATACCAATAATATTAATAGACAACGAAGGAGCTAAAAAATTAGCTGAAAATCCTGAATTCCATAAGAGATCAAAGCATATTGATATAATATATCATTTTACTAGGAACGCTATACAAAATAACCAAATAAAGCTAGTACCGATACCCTCAAAAGATAATATTGCTGATATACTTACTAAAAATATAATTAAAAATATATTTGAAAGCCATATACCAAAAATAATAACTAATATTCAAAGCTAATCCTTATATATATATATATATATATATAAAGATTAAGGGGGGATATGAATATTATACAGATATAACTAAGATCTAGTTAAAGATATAACTAAGATTTAGTTAAAAGGCTTAGTAACCCTAAAAAACACCGGATCTTCGGTATACTAGGTAGCCGGCCAGATCTTCGGTATACTTAGTATCCGACCGGATATTCGGTATACTAGATAACCGGCCGGATAGCTAGATAACCGGCCGGATAGCTGGAATACTAGCTATCCGGTATAACTATTCTAAGGTTAAATAGGGCCTTCTTTCCTTTAGAAATAATAATACACATTAATCAGAATCCTCTATAATCAAGCAACTAAGTCCTTAATCTTATTGATTACTCAGTAATCAACTATCTATAATAATTCCTCCTTTATCTATATTCCCCTAAGCCTAGTAAGACCTTTGCAGTCTTATACAGATAATTCCTTATAAGTAATTCCTTGTAAATAGTTCGCAATTAAATCTACTATGACCACTCATATAAATTATACAACTGTCAGAACAATTAGAGAGAAATCTGTTTTTAGCTCGACGGGCCAATCAGAAAAATTAATTATCTTTCTGTCCAGCTTAATAATTAGTTTGTGTTATACAGTCCTAAATTTAGATAAGAGGTAATTAATTACAACTCTGTAACCGGAATTCCGTAATATCACTTTTGCAAGGGGTCAGCGTAAATAGATTTTCCATCCACTATAACTACTTAATTTAAGATAACTATACAGTATATACAGATAGCTCTACCGCGATTAGTTATTTAATTCAACGAAAAGCGTAACTTAGCTAATCGAAGCCATAACCGGTCACAGATACTTATTCCATGAACGGGGTGACTACATTTTTCTGCGTTCCTTGATATAAAAAATCTTGAAACGTAGATAGGTAATTATAGCGTTTTCCATTGTGTTTGCTTAGAATGAGCGACAGCAATCTCTATACGTAGACAAGTGAAGATTATATCTTGGTATCCCCAAATAAGGTACAGAGAAACGGGCTGTAAATACGAATACAGTCATTCTCGAAATCGCCTTGACCAATATACACTGAGAAACTCTTTCCCGGTCCCACCGCCAAGACCTTAGCGCAGATCATCGATTAAGCGGGGCCACATTAAACTGAGGGGGTCAGTAAAATGCGGCGTGTATGTTACAGTAATTTGTGACGTACGATGACATTACTCGTATGAAAAATAGCCTATGGGATTCCATAGAATTCTATGGTGGATCTCTGCAAATCATGTGGGGAAGGCCACCTTTCACTAAGGATCTTGATGATCTGCTGGGAGGCTTTTTTTCTTTCTCCTCCTTTGTACGGTGTACGCTAGTCATCACTCGCGAGGTATCTCTTTGGCCCAGAACAAGTGATATTAGCAGCCAACGACCATCCTAACCAGTTGGCGGTTGTTTACAGGCGAACAATACCCTCAACGGCTCCTAATGTTTTAAGCCTCAACTAATTATCACTCACCCCTAGTCTGCCGTTACCGGAGGCCTAAGAAAATAACTTCCAGTTCTCTCTTTAGCTATGATGATAATGGCGTTTAACAAAGCATAGCGCTTAACTTATGGGTCGATACATCACAATATACACCAACACCTGGCAACTTCCGTTGCTCACCCTACTCCCCGTCCGAAATAAGTTGCATCAACATCGATTCCACCTCACCTGTCAATTACGCCCCTCCAGAACAAGCTACATCACAAAAATAGTCTTCCTTTACTCCAGTTCGGTGATTAGGAGGAAGGTCAGACGTATGACGAGGATCTACTGACTTATATCCACTACTTAATCAAGTGGAAGGTTACTCTAATAACAGAACAGTAGCAAAAGATACAGAACAGGATCTAGTTCTAGCCCCTCGATTTCACTGGAGGCTCTTTTTACAACCAAAGCTAAAGGAGCTACTTATACGAAAGTATCCACACCGAAAACTTGAATCTGATAACACGTCTGTTCGTATCCGCCACTCAATAGAAGGGCTTCTCTCTGAGGTTTGATGGCACCGACATTGATTAGATTCTGTAGAAAAGCAGCTTCTGGATTAGGGAGAGCTTTTTCTTGCTGGCAAGAAACTGAGGCTGGCTATCTCATTCAATTACGTAGAGAAGGCTTCAAGCTCAAACGTAAGTGGCAGGACGACTGATAAACGAGGCACTTTATCTGCTACCCTGCGGATACTTCTAGAGCAAGATCGACAGATCTATGCTAAGGAAGCAGCTTCCGGAGAGCCGCCTGTCTGGAAAGAGGTATATACTTTGATGCCGTTATCCTGGATCCTGTGAACTAGGCCCGCACTGCTGGTAGGATCCTTATGGAAAAAAATACTATAAGCTCTACCAGGATTAGCTTAAGAGCTTGGTTAAATATGTACAGAGCGGTGGGAATTTACAGTCGCATGAAGATATGCCTGGTATGATTCGCGAGCAAACTATAGAGTAGAGTAACAACGACTCGACAAACCGCGGACCAATAATCGATTCACCGCCGAAATAAGCTGCCCTCCTATTACTATCACAAATGTGCTTCCAACACAAGCTCAACAAGCACCCAGATTATCAACATCCATACTTCCAGAGAATACTAGTGTCTCTTTAGTCAACGTTCCTACTATTTATATTTCAGGCCTTCTCGATCCTGCTGTGAGAGAATACAGCAGCTGGCAACAGTTACGTTTGGGTGATGAGGCATTAAAAGCCGTGGTCAGAAGGCGTGTGATGTAGCCCTAGATAATGCACTGGACTTAGCACAGATTGATGAAGACAAAGATCCTAATTACTTTAAGGCGCATAGTGTTAAGTGGGGTAATGCTCGGCGTTTTGTTAATTACGCTAGGCACTGGGCGGAAAAATACAACGGATGTGTGATAAGCGAAGCGGATATATAGTGCGAGTATTAGTTATTCTGGTGGGTCCATTTTGGCGTCTATATAATTTGAGATATCTTCTATGCAGCTTGGCAAGAAAATCAAAGTTCATCAATTATCAGACCTGTGTTTCGGAAATGACTCTTTGCGCTCGATATCCTTGAACCAACCACGTCAACGCATTACTTAAGAAAGGCGTCGAAACCTTGATTTGGGTTTACTTTATACTCATCCTACTTTCGCTTGATGAATTGCTTGAGCTCGGAGAAGCACTCTTCAATAGGGTTTAAGTCGGTGAATAAAGGGGAAGATATATCAGCTTTACACCGGAGTCACATCCGCTGGATCTTCTTCGTTCGATGAAGAGAAGTATTATCTATGACGAGAACAGACTTTGGCTCCGGCCACCGGTTGTATGTTGAAGAAGTTATTCGATGAAATCCTCGAAAACATCGGCATCGGTAGAGCCTTAAAATATCCGTCGTAGAACAATCCCATCCTGAACAGACGTAGGTAGTATTTAATAGTGTTTATCCCGGTGAAAATTAGAGATCTGGACCGCAGTAACATCGACAGAAGACCAGCCTGTTGGTCGAAACCTAGCCCGTTTATCGCAACCTAACTCTTCCACGAAGACCAGATCGTATGACCGAAAGCTAGATAGGTTGTGGAGGTGGAAGTCCTGTAAATCTGCGTTTCGTTCCTTTATAATCTTTCGAGCTGCTTTCTTCGACCATTCGACCGAAGCAAGCGCTCTGCTGATGTTTTGAATGGCCACATGCTTCCTGAATTCGTCCCAGAGAAAGATGGCCATCTTGTCTTGGTATAAAGTAAATTTCTCCATCAAGTGTTTACAGAGAGCTTCCAGTATGGACGGTGTGATACTTCGCGGGCATCCAACACCAATTCGCGGGGCCTTAATATTGCCGAATACTTTAAGGTTGGAGCGAATATGTAGTGTGAAATGTTTGCTGCAGCCGACGGCAAGAGCCATTTAGGACGTCGTTAGTGAGTTATTCTGAATTATATAATAAATAAGCTCGAGCTGTAAGGGTTTGAGGTTTGGTGCTATGTTGCTTGATACAAAGTGGAGTGGTTGTCTGAATGAATGAATGTGCTACGTGGACTTACAGTACTGTAACTCTGTGATCCAATAGACTGAAGGCAAAGTAATGAAGCCTGATCAAATTAAGGCAATTTCATTGGACTTTGGACTTGAAATTCGTCGCCTTGGACTAGCGTACTGTAAATCTGAACCTCAGAAAGAAAGTCTCTAAAGAACAGTCTAACCAAAACGGTGGCGGGCTTATTATGAACGCCACTAAGGATATGTAGCCCAGCTCAAGATGCTCTTACAGACATAAGCCTTTTTAAGATCTTCCTAACAGATCTGAGATATCAACCAGACATTAATTCACCACCCTTCATCAAGTATCCTCAATACCAATGACACGCCGATTCTTCAAGATGAAAATCTCCGCTGTTCTAGTTGACTGCGGCAAACCCCAAGGAGGACGCTCACAAAGTGGTCTATGTAATTCGAAACCACGATATCGAGAGGGCCATCTTCGTTGAAGTCGCCTACTGCAACACTATACGAAAAGCCCTCTACATCGAAGGTGGACTGTGCCTGGAAGCTCCCCGATCCAGTCCCGAGCAGCACGCTCACTGTACTCTCAAATTGACTCGAAGTCACGATATCGAGATGGCCATCTCCGTTGAAGTCGCCTACTGCAACACCATACGGTAAGGACGCAGCGAAGGTGGCCTGCGCCTGGAAAGTCCCCGATCCAGTCCCGAGCAACACGCTCACTGTATTGTCGTTGGCATTCGCAGTCACGATATCGAGATGGCCATCTCCGTTGAAGTCGCCCACTGCAACATCCTCAGGATAGCTTCCCACAGCGAAGATGGCCTGCGCCTGGAAGGTCCCCGATCCAGTCCCGAGCAACACGCTCACTGTATTGTCGTTGGCATTCGCAGTCACAATATCGAGATGGCCATCTCCGTTGAAGTCGCCCACTGCAACATCCTCAGGATAGCTTCCCACAGCGAAGATGGCCTGCGCCTGGAAGGTCCCTGATCCTGTCCCAGGCAACACGCTCACGGTTCCGTCGCCTGCATCTTCATTCGTAGCTACGATGTCGAGATGGCCATCTCCGTTGAAGTCGCCCACCGCAACACCAACCGGGTAGTTCCCCACAGCGAAGGTGGCCGGCGCCTGGAAGGTCCCCGATCCAGTCCCGAGCAACACGCTCACTGTATTGTCGTTGGCATTCGCAGTCACAATATCGAGATGGCCATCTCCGTTGAAGTCGCCCACCGCAACACCAACCGGGTAGTTCCCCACAGCGAAGGTGGCCGGCGCCTGGAAGGTCCCTGATCCTGTCCCGAGCAACACGCTCACGGTTCCGGGTTGATTTGCAGTCACGATATCAAGATGCCCATCTCCGTTGAAGTCGCCCACTGCAACACCATACGGATTGTACTCTACATCGAAGATGGACGGTGCCTGGAAACTCCCTGATCCAGTGCATATGCAGGAGCCTGATGAACAAGTCAATCCAGTAGGGCACTGGAGAAGGGTGGGAATTGAACATGTTAGCAGTAAGAATATCGAAGCAATGGCAAGCCTAGAAGTATGAAGGTTAGGCACAACTTACACTGTTCCCACAAGTGCCACAGTCACTAGGAGTGTTCTGGAGGTTCGTGCAGGCTCCATTGCAACAGGTCAGGCCGGATACGCACTATCGAGCACCGCTTAGTGGCTGTCACAAAATCTGCAGTCTGCGGGTGTCTTACACATTGTCCGTTGCAGGAAGACGAAGGATCACAGCCTGTTGTTGGTGTACAAATGCAGCTCCTATTCATATCAGCTCTTAAATGGCTCTGCAGTCCCAAAACGATCAAGAAAGAGACGAACGGCGTAGTTTGTCCGAGGATAAGCCCAAGTAAGCTGGGAGATCTACTCCCGTTGTCGCAGGAACCAGATTGACCCCCCTAATTTTCGACACTTGAATGGACCAGTATATCAGTATTCATGCAATCTCTGCGGATATCTATAAAAGTATTTTTACCTGAGCGTCACAAGCGGCCGGATCGCAACCACTCCCGCTCCCACCCCCAAGCCCAAGCCCAATGTCTCTAATGTCACTACCCCCAGTGTCAATGTTAATTCCACCACCATCCCCATTACCAATATTGTTACCGCCATGGGAAACATTACCCCCACCCGAGGCCCACCCTACTTTTCTAGAGCATCTTCTCCAGTGAGTGCATTGACAAAAGCACAGAACGAAAGGGTGAGAAAAGCGCAACGCATTTTTGTAGTGTTGGCTTCAAACGAAAAAAAGTCTGGTAGGGAAGGAACATCAGTTTGAACCGGTCGGACTGGTCATTATAATGAAAAAAAATACCCCCTTTCCTCTCAGATATATATTGTGCCTATGGCCATTCATTAACTGTCTAAATTTTGTGATTATGATTAAATGCTTAGATATGTTCCCTGGAATGCTTATTCTCTGGAAGGTTAGGCAGGGGTTTTATGGTATGTGCTTTAATACCAGTAAAATGTTCCGGCGATCAAACCAGAGCTTAATAGAACCTGATTGGTCACCTGTGCGTACACCCGACCTAACGGTCGTGTCCTAGAGATCGCTATTCAATTTTGAGAATTCATTTTTTAGCTCCTATTATCTAATTACTATCAAGGATAAAGAGACAAAGTGTGAATTCGCGAGAGGCAGCGAGTTTTATTATTTCAAGTACATCACGATATATTCTTATTCTTTACCTGATCCTATAACAGCCTTCGCTCAGCGAGAAAAAAATTCCTGAGAACGGCGGTTTGTATTAACTGTGTAGTTCAGATGAATGATGACTCTTAATCATTCAGTAAAGTCCGAACATAACAGTTTGACTGGAGCACATACGGGCCGCTAATTAGATCCCACAAATATAAAGTTTGACTGCCAAAACATGTTGCTGGAACTGTGGCGCATACCATTAACCTCTGGCATGCTAGAAAATAAAGATCAAGTTTCTAACATTCCATGAAGGATATTTTAGCGTTTTGATCATAATAACTTACAAATCTTAGGCAGTTGATGAATGACTCTAAGCACACTCTACAGTATATAAGTAACACCCTCTACTATAAGATACCAGGACAACACTTGTGAAATTTTTTTTAGTATGATTTAAGCAGTATAGCAAATTTAAACTGATGTTATTCACCTGCTAAATTCTTAAGTATTTCGAGTAAACACCTTTATAAAAACGTTTTACTTTTCTTACCCTTTTATACTGTGCTTTTGTCGCTGCATTCCTTAGAGAAGAAGGTCGAGAAAAGTGGGGCGGCCCCGGCCAGTGAATTCCACCTACAGTGGCGTATTATGAGTTTTGAAACCCCCGGCAGAATAAAGGGGAGGCTTGTCCCTACAAAAACCTCCATATCGGCGAATAGTATCTAGCAGAATAAGGGGCTTGTGCATAAGTTGGTGGGCGGTAGAAAGAGCGGTGGAAGGGGGTTTCAAACTCATGATACGCTACTGTAATTCCCTTAAACAGTGTGTAAATTTACAAGCGCTTTACAATACCATACAAACAGCATTTTCCAGTGGCCATCAACTTATTGCGGAAAGCTCAATAATTTATCTGTCGGAACAGAAATGTACGTCCAATCAGGTCCATGGATAGTTGTCTGATTCTTGTTATGTTCGCTCACATACTAATTTGTATGCGACCGACAATGACTAAGACTCTTGGCTAAGTTACAATGATACATTCTGACTATGCCTTACAATACTAATTCCCCACTGATACCGACATTATCTGCACTAGAGTCTTGGCAGCGGGGCCAGATCAGAGTGATGAAGTGTGTATCGGTCAAGCCGATTTCGAGAATGACTGTAACGAAGAGCTTGGTATCAATGCAGGCTTTGAAAGATGTACTAGAGTTTGTAGTTGAGTCAAGGTCCCGCATTGTGGGACCGTACAATTGTGGTCAAGTAGAATCTTTGAATTAAGGAAGAAGCATTCTTGCCTTGGGTATGCCCGCATAAAACGATAGTTAGCTAAACGGTAAATATTACAGCTCCTAATTAATTAGATCTCAAGGGTAATTTGTTACGTCTGTGGAGCTCCGGAATCAACCTTTGGGTGATCAGTGAGCACGGTCTGAGCGATCAGTGAGCACGGTCTGAGCGATTAGTGAGCACGGTCTGAGCGATCAGTGAGCACGGTCTGAGCGATCAGTGAGCACGGTCTGATCGATCAGTAAGCACGGTCTAATCGATCAGTAAGCACAGTCTGATTGATTAGTGAGCACGGTCTAAGCGATCAGTAAGCACGGTCTGATCGATCAGTAAGCATAGACTAAGATATAGATTATTATTTATTATAAAATATAATCCTACTTCTGCAGAATATCTGAGTAATAAGACTACAGCGTCTTAGCGAATTCTCCTTTTGCTAGAAGTATATAAGATCAACTAGCCTATGCAAGCTAACAGAAACAGCTTTCCGGGGCGTCTCCTTCTATAATCAAGATATATACTATAGCTTTGTAAGATATTATATTTTATATTTTCGACTAAGCGCAGGGTCTAGTACCTTCTTTAATTTTTACTACCGCCTGGAAAATATATAGCAACCTGTATATCGATAATCTAAAGAGTACTTAGATGATAATAAGCTTATTCTGTAAGTAAAAAGCAATATAATAACTAGTTTAGAGATTTACGAGGAATTTTGTATTTATTAAGAGACTAAGCTTTCCTCATTCACTCTACCATACGAACTATATTCCTCTCTCGAAAATTAATTATATATAAAGTAATTTCTCCCTCGCTCTAGTACTCTAAAACACTTAGATTAAGCCCTAACTTCAGCCCGGGAACTTATTTAAAAACCGAGCATATACCTGACTCTAAGACAGCCCTAATTCGACTTAAAGACGGGATATTAATCTTGCTTCCTCCTCAGGTCTACGGTAGACGTTGTCTTAAAGCTTTCTTTTTATACGGCTTGTAGATCCTACTTAACGAGCTAGAGTTATTACCAAAGATATTACTTCTCGTCGTAGGTTTGGATATATAATTCTTATTTTACAGGACGTTGGGTAATCTTGTTAAAGCAAAGTATATCTCGTAGTTGTCCAGAGCAGCCGTATCATATATAGAAACATATGGCACCTATATCGTCTTAACTTACTTATATCCTTTCTATCTGACTAAGTAAGAAGTAGAGCTACTTGTATTTTTCCTATACCTAAGAATTTTCTTAATCTCGTACTTCTTATTATCTAACCCTATAAACTTATACTCAGTTAATCCAGATAGAGGCTTTTTATAGGCCTAACCCAGAATACCGACGGGGTTAAAAGGCAGCTGCTCTGCGCCTGTAGATTCCGGGCCTACTACCCGTTGGTAATTATCTTATATTACATCTGCGTTAAGAGATAATCCAAAACTAGATAAATATAGAAATCCGGTATCTGTACTAGTTAAAGAAACACAATATAAAAGGGTACCTTTAAAAAGCTAGGAAAGAAACTATAATTAATCTCCAGCCGGTATATACAGAAATTATAAACGAACGGTCGCAAAGGAACAGCTTTAATAATTTAGAGGATAGGCTTCCTTATTTAGAAGTTAATAATAGCTATTCCTTGCCTTCTTCTTTTGGGGATCCGGCCGCTTTGTTGATAGGTGCTTTTTATAATGCAAAGTCGCTAAGAGTTCTATTTCGTTTTTACTTATTTGTAGAACTATATTCGCGCCCAGACATTGTAAGCCTACTGAAAAGGGTAAAGTAGCTGTTGAGCTATCTTAGAAAACAGCCGCCTTCTCTATCTCCTCGCTATAATTAGAGCTTATACTGCTATAAGTAATTACAGAATTAATATTTATATTACCGGGATCTTCTTAAATCCAGATTAGTGATTTTAACGAAGATATCTATATAGTATTGTTAAGATTATTGCCAAAAGATACTACTGGGGATATCTCTGTTTTACCCTGGCTAGGTTAGAAATCTGGCGGAGATTTCTCGTTTAAGCATACCTCTATCAGAGGGCAAGCAGGAAGTAGATAATACTGTATATAGTCGGCGTCCTTCGGTAATATAGCTGGAGTCTGATCGCAAGAGACTTATAGGCTAATAGCTGCTACTGAGACAGGGCTCGGATAGCGACAAATATCCTTGTTGCGCTGTAAATATTGTTGTTTGTCATAAAATAGATCCTATACACGAAAAACTTTTAATACGGAAAGTTGTATTTGCTATATTTACCGATAAAGTAGAAACTTAGTAGGTACTTAAATTAAAAGATAACTGTACTTATAGAGTACAGGATATAGTATAAAATTAAATTTTGAAAGGATAGAAGGATAGGATAGAAGGGGAATGTAGGGAATGTACAAGGGTAAGGAAAATAGGTAATTAGTGTAGAATAGGTAGAGGGAAAAGGAAATTAT